CCAATGTTTATTTATTTTTGAGAAAGAGGGAGAGACCAAGGGGAGCTGGGGCAGAGGAGGGGACAGAGGATCCAAAGCAGGCTCCTCGCTGACAGCAGAGAGCCTGACTTGGGGCTCGATCCCATGAGCTGTGAGATCCTGACGTGAGCCGAAACCAAGAGTGGGAAACTTAACAGAGTGAGCCCCGAGGAGCCCCTGGGCTTGAGTGTCATATTTTTAAAAAGAAGGAGAAAAAAGGAAAGAAACAAGAAAAGAGGAAACCACCATGTTGCCGACGGGGTTGCAGACCTCATTGCCCTTTAGGGCCATCACCTCTGCAAATGCCAAGGTCATGGTGAAGGGCAGGGTGTTCAGGGCCCTGCTCACTGTAACCAGGCTGGCGGTATCTCAGGAGGGCATCTGCGAGGGACAAGGGACGTGAAAACATTATAGACTCGTAGGGCTTTCTTTTTAGCACGGCTGGTCCAGGTAGGGGGAGAGAGGTGCATGTGGGATCCCTTTGTTTATTTTTATATGTTTTATTTATTTTTAAGCGAGAGAGCACACAAGCATGGGAGGGGCAGAGAGAGAGAGGGACAGAGGATCCAAGCAGGCTCTGCGCCCACAGCGGAGAGCCTGATGCCAGGCTCGAACTCAGAAACTGTGAGATCGTGACCTGAAGTCATGACGTTCAACCCTCTCCACCTCCCCTGAGCCACTGAGGTGCTCCAGGTGGAGTCCCTTTTAAACACTGTGTTTTAACCCTCTCGGTCCTGTCTTTTGACAGAATTGCCTGCTTGGAGAAGCAGGGATTTGTATCATTTCCTCATCTTCTTGCCCCAGGCTGGTATCTGTGAGGGCACAGAAAATAAGGAAATGTCCCCAGGCTGGTCTAAGCCCCTGGGCAGGAGGACTGCCTGGGCCAGTGGCCGTGCCAGTCTAGAGCTGCTGTCATGGGGCTTGGGGACCGCTGCTGTCCAGGTGCGGGGTTATGGCCGAGACCTGAGGCTCAAGTGCAGGCGTAGGTGGTGACCCAGGCTCTGCAGCAGGTGGGGGAGTTAAACATGACTGCTGTCCGTGACCTCATCTCCCACTTTCACAGGGCTCCCCGATGTCACATCTCTTCATGACACTTCACAGCATGACACTTAGGCAAGCAAACTCCGTGTCAGCGTGTTATCTTTAAAACTATTGGGAAGGTGCCACTTTTGGTGACACGCCACCCCACCCCGCACTTCCCAGTAATGGTTATTTTGAGGTTTGGTGACATTTTCTTTTTTAAAAAAATTTTTAACATATATTTATTTTTGAGAGAGAGAGACAAAGCACAAGCAGGGGAGGGGCAGAGAGAGGGAGACACAGAATCTGAAGCAGGCTTCAGGCTCTGAGCTGTTAGCACAGAGCCCGACGTGGGGCTCGAACCCATGAATCTCAAGTTCATTTTCTGAGCCGAAGTCGGCACTTAACCAACTGAGCCACCCAAGCGCCCCAAGGTTTGGCTACATTTTCAATGAAGTTGCTGGGAAGGAAAGACCCTTCTTTTCCCCTCTTCTCCCCCGTCCCCATCCTACCTCCTCGCCTCCACCCTGTATTATAGAGCCCAGGTTTAGGAGCCGGAGATAGGGGGCTTGCGTGGACGGAAGTTGGCCCAGAAAGAAAGGACCAAGTAATAAATAAATAAGTTTATTTTTATTTAAAAATAAACCAAGTAATTCGGGTTGAGATCAGGGCTACCAAGTACACACCCGGGGTGCCTGATGAGAGGGCAGCCAAGGCCCCCTCGCAGGGACATGGAACGGGGAGGAAAGGCCGTGCAAAGGTCTGGGAGAGATGCCGGGGGCAGGCGACCTTGGGAAGAAGCTGGCACTCTGCAGATCTGAAAAAAGACCCAGAAGCCCCTGTGCTGGTGCCCGAGGGCGAGGTGGGGGGAAGGAGAGGCCCCAAGGGTGGATTGTGGGGGAGCGGGCTTTCAGAGCGCAGCAGGCGATCATTTTAGAGTATTAAGCAGTGGTCTGAGGAGCACTTTAGAGACCCCCTCCCCCTTCCCAGCCACTGGGTGAGGACGGGTCATATGTGGAGAGGAGGGAGAGGCACTGAGCCCGGCTTTGCTCTGCTGACCTGGTGCCTGTGGGCCAGTCTCTTATGCCCGCCAGGACCTCGGCCTTCGTTCTGCCCAGGATGGCTGAGTTTGCCCACCGGGCTCGGGCAGCCCGGACACACGTGGTTCTGAGGTGCCCACCCGTTCTCTAAGCCGCCTGTCCTCCCTGCCCACCCGGCTAGCCTGGCCACCCATCCTGCTCATTCTAGACTCCAGACTGTCATCCTTTGGAGACTTTTCACATTAAATATTCATTATTAAGTTTTAATATTAAAAATCTCCAACATAAAGGAAAATGAAAAGGACAGTCTGATAAATACCAGTATACTCGACTGTTATTAGCATGTTGCCATTTGTATTTGCCCTTGCTCTATCTCTAAATAAGGTGGGGTTTTTTTTTTTTTGAGTCATTTGAAGGGTAATTATGCTCTTTTATTATAAACATTGTAGCATGCATTTCTTAAGAATAAAAACATTTTTGGGGCACCTGAGCGGCTCAGTCAGTTAAGCATCCGACTTTGGCTCAGGTCATGATCTCACAGTCTAGAGTTCAAGCCTTGCATCTGGCTCTGTGCTGACAGCTCAGAGCCTGGAGCCTGCTTCCGATTCTGTGTCTCCCTCTCTCTCTGCCCCTCCGCTGCTCATGCTCTGTCTCTCTGTCTCTGTCTCTCTCCAGAAAAAAAAAGAATAAAAGCATTCTTAATGGAATAAAAACTTTCTTTTTTTTAAGTTTACTTTGAGAGAGAACGCGCACAGGTGTATGCATGCTTGTGCAAGTCGGGGAGGGTCAGAGACAGAGGGAGACAGAGAGACTCCCAAGCAAGCTCTTCACTGTCAGCATAGAGCCCAGACATAGGGCTCAGTCTCCTGAACCGTGAGATTATGACCTGAACCAAAATCAAAGAGTCCGATACTTAACCGAGCTTAACCAAGTGAGCCCCTAAAAACTTTCTGAATGGAATAAAAACATATTCTAAATGTAATAAAAAATGTCTACTTTATTATGTAATAGACAATGAAAGATTATTCAGCAATAAAAAAAAGGAAATCTGCCGATTCAACAACATAGGTGGACTTTGTAGACATCATGCTAGGTAAAAGGAGTCAGACAGAGAAAGACAAATATCATATGATGTCCCTTATATGTGGAATCCAAAAACACCCAAACTTCCAGATGCAGAGAACAGATTGGTGGTTGCCAGGGGTGGGGATGGGGGAAAAGGGTGAAGGGGATCCAAAGGCACAAGCTTCCAGTCACAAGATAAGTAAGCTCTCGGCATGGAACACGCAGCCTGGTGACTAGAATTGGCAGCACTGCACTTACCGTATGTTTGAACGTTGCTAAGAGAGCAGATCTTAAAAATTCTCATCACAAGAAAAAAAATGGTAGCTCTGTGTGAAATGACTGCTGCTCACCAAATTTCTTGTGGGAGCGAGTCCCAGTATATACATGTGTCAAATCATTATATCATACACCTTCGATGAATACAGTGTTATATGCCAACACAACGGGAAGAAGAGAACAAAAGCATTCCTCTACGCGGCTGAAATCCAGAAAATGGACGACGGTCTCCCCATGTAGCCAGCTCCTATCAAGTTTCCCTAATTAGCCTCCAGATGTGCTGTGGGCACATGTGCACTGAAATCCAACCAAGGATCACGTTATTACATCTGGGCTGTCTCTTCAGTGTCCTTTAGTAGAGAAATCTCCCCCACTATGCCATTTTTCGCTTGGGTATTGACTTTTTGAAGCATGTCACCAGTTGTGGTAGAATGTTGAATGCTGTCAAATGGATTGTTAGACTCTTTCCTTGTGGTGTCATTTAATTTTTCCATCAGCTCTATTTCCTGTAACCTGGAGATTAGGTCTAGAGGTCTGATTAGATTCAGGATCAATGCGCTTTGAGGAGAACCCTTGATAGTATCACTTCATATAATCCCGTCAGGAGACACACGTGGTCAGTGGCGGCATTAAGTTTAATCACATTCCTTGAGGGAAGGAAGACGGCTAGACTTCTTTTATATTTCTCCACAGTGTCTAAAAAAAGGCTGGGTGTCCGGTAATGTGTAGCAGATATAGCCAATTCTTGTCACTGGCTGTAGTTATTCTATAAAGTCACCGGGAACATTGCATCACAGAATACTGACCCATTGCTTCTAGGGCATCTACAGAGTTAGATTCCTGTGAGTCTCTGGTTACATTTTTGTCAACAGATCACTACAGAACCTTCTTTTACATGTGTTTTTGTTTAAAGACATCTCATTTAATATAGTTTTTGATTCATGAACATGGAGCTCATGGCCAACGGCACTATAACTCATTCCTGAATGAAGCTTATCTAACACTTGTATTTTCTCCATGACGCACATCACAGCCTCTTTGCACTGAGGAGCGGTAGGCAGCCCTTCAGTCCTATGCTTGGGGACCAGATTAAACAGCAAAATCACCAACAGAAAGCACAAAAATGCAAAAGCTTTAGCACTTAGTAGACTGTGGAAAGGAAGGCATTTGCTTGCAGTATGAGAGCCAAACCAAGAAGACCGCCTTCTTCAGCCTCAGCTAGGGATGTGCAGGTTGGAAAACACAACATTTTGTGACATCTTGGAATGTCCGGGAGCGACTGCTTAAGAGCCACGAGTATGGATTGTAGAGATACAAATAGATGTTGGTGAGTGGATGGTTGCAAAATATGGAATCTTTGGATAAACAGGATCCACTAAATATTCTGGATGAAACCAATTAGACTTAGCTGTGCGACCTCGAATTAGTTGCGTTACCTCTCTGAGCTTCATGTGTCCCTTCACTGGGTGATCTTCAAGCTTTTCCCAGCACTGGGATCCTGGGAACTGGGTGGGAATGGAGTTTCTCTTAGTCTGGATTTCTGTGGATAGAGGGACCCTGATCGCCTTTCTTTCTGTGCAGGTTTGTGGATTTCCACGCAGCTGCCTCCACCTGCTCACCCTCCAGGGCCTCCCTGCTCACCGGACGGCTTGGCCTTCGCAATGGAGTCACGCACAACTTTGCGGTCACTTCCGTGGGGGGTCTTCCACTCAACGAGACCACCTTGGCCGAGGTGCTGCGGCAAGATGGCTACATCACCGGGATGATAGGTAACGCCGGAGCTCTGCTCTGGGGACCCCCATCTCCCACAGCATTTATGGGGTGCCTGCTTTGTGTTTGGGTAGCCCCAATCTGCTGCTACCTCTTCTGTTCATGTCTGCTTTTTGTGTACTTCGTGCTGTAGACGTTAGGAAAACTTTCAGCTCAAAGTAATTGAAAAGACCACACAGGGGACTCGACCGTCTCTACGGCTGTTTTCTTCCTATTGTAACAAGCATAGAGGTGAGCGATGCTTTCATTGGCTGGGCCGTTCGAGGAAACCATTTCTGTGTTTTCTGCTCTTTTGTCTTCATGTTTGTTGCCTCTTGGTTGCAACAGAGCTGCTCAGTACCATGCACCATAATTTGGCCTCAAGGAAGGACAAACAGAGAGGAGGACATGCGGGCCTCCTGTATTCACCTCTGCCAGGAAGGCAAATCTTTTCTCAGACACTCCCTCTCCCTACAGGCAGAAATGCACTTAAGTCTTGGGGCGCCTGGGTGGCTTAGTCGGTTAAGCGTCCGACTTTCGCTTAGGTCATGATCTCGCGGTTCGTGGGTTCGAGCCCCGCGTCGGGCTCTGTGCTGACTGCCAGCTCAGAGCCTGGAGCCTATTTCAGAATCTGTGTCTCCCTCTCTCTCTGACCCTCCCCTGCTCATGCTGTCTCTCTCTCTCTCCTAGAAATAAATTAAAAAAAAAAAAAAAAAAAAGAAATGCACTTAAGTCTTATCAGTGGATTTCTGTGGCCACGCTTCCCTGCAAGGAAGGCTGGGAAAACTGGGGTTAGGATTATAATGACGGACTTGGATTTGACCACAGGTGTCTGATTCCTAGAACAGGACCGAGTTCTGTTAGCAGGACAGGTGGGGGCACGAGTGAATGGGAGGCAAACAGCAGTGTCGGCCCTGCCATCCAACGGCTTCCTTTCTTCTTAAATTTCTGTAGGCACCTCTTCCTCAACGTTTGTTACACGGCAGGTACCGGGCCAAGTTTTTCTTTGCATCAGGGTATGGAGATGCCTTCTGAGATGATCATTTCTCCCATGATGGATGTTAGGGAATTGACCTTCAGACAGGTGGAGAGACCTGATCAGTGCTGCCCACCAGCAGCCAGTGCATCTAGACAGTGTGTCCGCCCAGCCTCGCTCTGATGCTTTGCTTGCCTGCTCGTCTTCCCTCCAGAGGCCAAGACAAAACAGCAGGCCCAGCAGCATCCTCAGGCTGCCTGTGCTTGTTATTCTGACTTTCCAAGAGCTGGGTCCACTGGGATTCCTGCCTGCCTTCATACATGAAGTGGCAAGGGAGGGTTTCTTCCCAACAAACAAGATGGCGGCCACTGTCCCTGTGGGGGTGTTACTGATGCCTGGAGCTCCCGTGTTAACCTGTGGGAGGCTCTGGTTTCTGGTGTCAGCCCCACCTTCTCTGGATCCAGGAGCCCCGCATACTCTTACGGAAGATCAGACTGGAGTGTGGCGTTCATTGTCCCAGGCGGGCAAGCCCCAGTGGGAGGAGATACAAATTAAGATCCCTCCTTTTCCATCCCTTCCCTCCCATATCCCACTGGTATAATTACTGTGAAGCTCCCACGATGGGCTGAGTATCCTTACTGGCCCCATCACATGCATCCCAGTCATGCTCACAGCCTGGAAAGGTTTGGCCCTGGGACTCCAAAGTCTCCTGCTGCAGCAGGGGGCTGGGCCCTTCCTGAGCTGCGTTTGCTCTCACTTGCCCTTCCCTCTTCATGCCTTTGAACTCCGAGTGAACAACAGATTACACATTAATGGTTCAGCTGTCTGCCTCTTCCTTGCCCAGTCAACCCGCCTTTTGCATGTTAGAGAGAGGATATTCGGCCACATCCATGTGTTGTGATTATGAATTTCCTATAAGCATGCTTGCGGGAAAAGTGAAAAACCCACCGCCGGAATCTCAGGAGCATTTGCACAGCCACCCACACTTTGCTGCTAACTTTGGTTTAGGGTCATGTTGTATACATACCACTAGGTCTCCTAACCCCTTCCTCTTATTTTATATTTCTTTTTCTTAACATTTTAAAAATATATTTTAAATTATTTTTTTGTTTTTTGATTCTTGCTTTTTTTAATATAATTGATTGGCAAATTGGCTGACATTCAACACCCAGTGCTCATCCCAGCAAGGGCCTTCCTCAGTGCCCATCACCCATTTTCCCCTCTCCCCTATTTAATGATCGTTTTAATGTTTATTTATTTATTTTTTGAGAGAGAGGGATAGCGTATGAGTGGGAGAGGGGCAGAGGAAGAATCTGGAGCAGGCTCCAGGCTCTGAGCTGTCAGCACAGAGCCCGACCGCAGGGCTCGAACCCATGAACCGTGAGATCATGGCCCGAGCCGAAGTCAGACGCTTAACCTACTGAGCCACCCAGGTGACCCCTTTTTTTCTTTTAAAGATCTTTAAATTTATATTTGTTTTTTGAGAGAGAGAGCGCGTACCAAGCAGGCTCCTCACTGTGACCCCGATGCGGGGGCTCGAACCCACAAACCACAAGATCATGACCTGAACTGAGGTCAGACTCTTAACCGACTGAGCCACCCAGGTGCCCCTTATTTTAAATGTCAATGTAATACAATTTTATCTATTTCTTAGAATTTTAATAACCTTAGAAATAGCTTAAACATATTAATTTAATTTTGGATTTTCATGCCATGCTTCATCCAAGCCTTCCACATAGTGCTTAATCCATTTCCCTGTACTTTATATTACATTTTTTCCCCAAATCTACAGAGCAGTTGCAAAAAAGGGAAGAACAGACACCCCTGTACCCGTTACCTAGATTCCCTGATCATTACCTTTTGCTACATGCATTTGTCTCTGAAAGAGAGATTGGTAGCATTTCATCGAGCCCGTGTAAAATAACTTGCCGCAGCCACAGTCCTGCGGGTGCCCGTTTCGTTCTTTCCCCCACGCGTTGTTGTTCGGTGCGGCCGCTGTTTAGATCTATGTACCGCATTCTCTGCCCCTTGCCTCGTGGGTGGTTTCCTGGGGGTCCCTGCTCCCCAGAGCGGAATCAGCAGGCCAGAAAGCTCAAACATGGTCGGAGCCTTTGCCACACATCGCCCCGTCCTTCTCCCCCAAAGAACGCATTTACAGAGCGAGGCGCATATTTGAGCTTCCTCCTTTGCTGTCCAGGTGAGTGTCCCTGCACCGGTGGGTGCAGCAGCAGGGGTGAGGTGGGGAGGTGGTCTCTTGCGCAGGCCGCTGATGGTGGTCAGAGAGGAGTGTGATGAAGCCGAGAGACAACCAGGCCGTCTCCGAGGCTGTCTGGAGTGTGCGCCTGTCCTCAGAGCCTCAGCAGGGGCCCTGGCACGGGAGGGTAGAGCAGGTGCAGCGGGCGACGTGGGGTTGCTGTGGGTACTGAACGCTCTTAGAGGGGCAGGAGCTCAGGCTGCTGGCTTCTGTGTCCCTGCACCCCCGCCCCCCCGAAAGGCTTGTCTTCCTTTTCACTGTGTGCGTTCGTGCACAGATCCTGACTCATCCTTGCTCGCTCCCTGTCTCCCTGTGGACTTCCTCTCAGTCCCTGAGAGCAAGGCCTGGCTTTCACACATTTGCAACCTCTCTCTGCTTGTCCTCGGGAAAGGGCAGCGCTGATGGAGAACCGAGTATGTGATCAGCTCCCCAAAAGTGCCGGGAGCCCCCACGGGGGTTCGTCTGAAAGTCTCTCTCTTGCTTTCCTACAGGCAAATGGCACCTTGGGCACCATGGATCTTACCACCCCAACTTCCGAGGTAAGAGTTCTTTGGCGGATTTGTTACCTGGGAGACAGGAAGTAAAGATCTTGGTGTAAAAGGATTCCATTAACATTTAAACTGTCCTCATCCTGGGGGACATCTCTCCTGAGTTAGGATGTCTTCATTCTCAGGGTCACTGAGGTGCATTTGGGGGACCCAGGGGGCTCCCCTTGGTCTTATATCCGTTTCACCTGGCATCTTTCCTGGAACCCCCCTGCCCCCAGCCTTTGTGCCTGCCTGTCCTGTCTGGCCCTTCCCATCGTGAGCCCACCAGTGTCCACGTCTCAGGGAACATTTGGCCCCCCCCGTGAGGTCCAGACACGTCTAGTGTCCTAACAAGTAAAAATTGTCCAGTGGGTTCACAGAAGCAGGCCATCAACCCCAACAGGGGATGCTCGCTCTTGCCTTCTTCCTGCAGCTGTTTTCTGCCTCCCAGTTCTGCCTCTCTGTCCTTGGGGAATAGGCCAAGGTCAAGCTGCCTGAGCCAATGATCTGAAAATCAGTTTGCTGATGGGTGAGCTCTCTGAATGGCCAATTCACCGACTTTTCGATGGTTTTCCAAAGTTGTGGGTTTTGCCCCTGCTCTCCCCCTGACCTGCCTCTTCGATTCCATATGGGAATCCTCCTCGGACATTCTCTGATAGGCGGTTTATCATTATGTCAACTTCGTGGCTTCTCCCCATCCCTACCTGGCACGTGCTTCTCTGTTACCCTGCTATTGTATAAGCAAGTGGATGGTCTTCTCCTTGAACGTGGTTCCCGACTATTTTGCAGACTTCTCCCCTTCTCTGCCCCAATGTCTCCCTCTATCTCCATGGGAAATGGCTGCAGTGCTCTCTCCTAGAAGTGGGGGAACGTATGCATCTGAAGATCTCTGCGTTTGGAGAACGGCTTTCAGAGAACCGGCCTCCAACCAGCCTTCAGCTTCCGGCTCCTGCTGGGAGCACCCTCTCCAGCCCCTTCCTCCCCCTCTCTTCCCTTGCGCCCATTTTCCAGTTGGGCTTCCATGGCATTTCCCACTTGTGTTTTTTAAGAACGGCAGTGAAGGAAGTGCAGACCTGGCTTTTCCGCTAACTAAAAATTACCGCAGAAATTACGTCTCCCACTTGGTCATTTTTCCTCCTTGACAAATGAGGAGCTTGAACCAGATCAGGGCATTGACACCTTGAGTGCATATTTCTGGAGTTCCTGCAGTGGGGGCAGATGGATCCGGAGAGCAGATCTTGCTCAGCAGGAAGTGGTGCCATTTGGGATTCGTGGTGTCTGCCGTTGGGATTGAGAAGAGATGGCACGTGCCATACACTTGTGTCCCTGGACCAGATAGTCTGGAACAGCCTGCTGGCTGGGGCATTCTGAGGTTTCTTGTTTCCCATCTCCAAGTTCACTCATATCGCCTCCTGATTCTTGTATCTCTTCCCTGGTACACTTCCTGGTTCTCCATTCCCCTCATGCCAACCTCTTACAGCTTGATCTAGATCTCTTCCTTCTCTTTCCGTCTCTTGAGGGCAGTCTCTTTTTTCCTTAAAGTGCCACGCATGTACTTGATTTTCATCAAATACTTACTGAATGTGTTCATAACTGCACTGGGGATGGTAGGTGTTCAATAATGCTCTCTACTTCCGCCCACGCTGGGTTAACTCTAATCCCAAGATGTTTTTGCAAATCTAGTCTTACAGCCAGAACCCAGCAAAGTGTTTTCTTTGCATACTACAAAGGGATATTAATCAAATCCTCTTTTAATTACATACTCCATAGCACTGCAGTATTAAATCATGGAAAATTAAATTTTTGTCCTGGGTATAAGAATGCAGGCTCATAGAAAAGAAGCCAAGTGGGGGTGCTGACCAATGGCTTCTCTTCCAGGTTTTGATTACTACTTTGGAATCCCATACAGCCATGACATGGGCTGCACTGATACCCCGGGCTACAACCACCCTTCTTGTCCAGCGTGTCCGCGGGGGGACAGACCGTCAAGGTACTCCCATCCAAGGAAGAGGCAGTGGCCTCCAGAGCAAGAAGTCCTAAGGGTGAAGTCCATCAGGAGGGGAGGCGGGGAAGGCAAGCCTCAGTGGGCTCACGAATAACACAATGGTTAACATAATAATGGCCATTTACTGAGAAATTGTTACAGTCTCTGGTTCTACCTGCTTCTCTGCGATCCACACGACCGCTCTTTGTGGCCCGTATTTATCCTGATTTTATGAGTAAGGAAACCTGTAAAGGTACAGGGAAGGACCCGCTTGCCTAGGTCTCCCTGGAGCTGTAAGTGGTAGAGACAGTGGTGCCTGTCTGGGTCCCTCTGAGTCTAGAGCCTATTTGCTGCGCGAAGGGTGGTCGCTGACCCAGCAGTGTGGCTGACATCCGGGTGCTTGTTAGAAAAGCAGGATTTCAGACCTCCCCTGCACCCCCCTCCCCCGCCCCAGGTCTCCCTGCTCACAAGGTGCCCAGGTGGCTCGTATGCACGTGGCAGGGGGAAAGTGAAGTGTGGTATGTATCGTTACCTCCCTCCTCACCAGCTGCAGCCTGGGGGGCACATGTGTGGTCACACTTGGTATATGACGTATGTCAGCCAGGCCCCTTTAAATCCATGTTAAATCAAATGAGGAAGTAAAAGGAGGTTGGCTTAGTTGGAGAGCAGGGAGGGGAGATATTTTAGGTGGAGTTGCCACAAGGTCGTGAAAATCTGAAAAATGTGACACTGACGATGAGGTTAGCATTAGGATGCCTAGTAATCACCCTTTTTCCCTTTTTCAAAAATTGTGGTCCTTGGTGATTATTTACCCCAGTCTGACCTTGTCTTCCAAGCTTTTATAATGGGGGGTGGTTATAAGGGGCTCTCTCTCTCTCAAAATAAATAAATAAACATATATATATATATATATATATAAAGAATCAAGGGCGCGTGAGTGGCTCAGTCGGTTGAGCATCCGACTCTGGCTCAGGTCATGATCTCGCAGTTTGTGAGTCTGAGCCCCGCGTCTGGCTCTGTGCTGACAGCTCAGAGCCTGGAGCCTGCTTCTGATTCTGTGTCTCCTTCTCTCTCTGCTCCTCCCCTGCTTGTACTGTGTCTCTCTATCTCTCTCAAAAATAAGTAAACATTTAAAAAAAAAGAATCTTGTTTTAAAAATTAAAAAAAAAGCTTAGCTGACTTGCTCCGGTCACGGCTAGGGTCATTATCCAACCACATGTGTTGGGGCATTCACATATCAGGTTCATCTCCATCTAGAAGACCAAGAACTGAGTTATTTATTTATTTTTTTCAGGAAATGAAACTGGTTTGACCCCCACTTTTTCCATTTGCTAAAGCTTCTCCCAGTTCTCCAAACATGGTTTGAAAATTTTAAGTTGTCCCCGGCCATCTGTGTTTTTGTTAGACGTCATGTCACATGGAGTCCTGATGGTCGGCCTAGGAAAGCACCAAGCATTAGTACCCCCTAGACAGAAGGCATCATCTAGGGAGGTCCGTGGAGAAAGCCGGGGATGGGGGCTATTCATTGGCTATGGGACTCTGCTTGCGTAATTTAGTCTGTTTGGACCTCAGTTTCTCTCCCAACAAAATGGGAGTAATGGCCCCTGTAGCTCACAGAAGTATTCGTGAGCTTCGCAGAGCGGCCAGGCTTATCTGAGGAGTGTAAACATCTGTTGGTGGAGAAGGGAGGAAGGCGTTTTATTGGTTTTACACTTGGAGGAAATGGCAGACTGGACAACTCATCTGGGGCCAGGTTATTAAGTGTTTTGTATTTACGCACATCGCTGCATAAAAGCATTTTGTTCTCCACCACGGTTACTTAGGTCATGGAAATGAATGCTATCTGTGGCTCCCACAGGAACCTCGAGAGGGACTGTTACACGGATGTGGCCCTTCCTCTGTATGAAAACCTCAACATTGTGGAGCAGCCGGTGAACCTGACCCGCCTCGCGCAGAAATATGCCGAGAAGGCTACCCAGTTCATTCATCATGCGAGGTAAGGGGCCTCCGGGGTGCCCCCGGCATGCCTCTAAGCCATGGTGGTGTTCCCTTGCCCAACAAAGATGGATGCATGCATGTCCCCTGTGCATGAAGCTGGAGACCAGGCCTGGGTCAGACATTCCACAGGTATGTTCCCAGAGTTCCTAGGAGCGTCCCCAAATCCCGGCTCAGATCACACTCTGCTGTCCTCTCCTATAGGCTCCTGGACGGGAGGGCCTGCCTCTGTCTTCTGGGCACTCAAGGCATCTGTTGATTCATTACTTGACAGGGCGTATTAGCTTCTTATTGCTGCTGTAACAAACTTACCACCAGCTTATGGGCTAAAGCAACAGCAATCAATTCCCCTGTAAGACCCGGAGGCTGGATGCCCCAAATGAGTCTTATGGGGCTAAAATCAAAGGCATCCTCAGGGCTGTTTCCTTCTGGGGATTCCAGGGGAGAAATATTTCTTGTCTCTTCTGTCTTCTTCTTCTTTTAAAGTTTATTTATTTATTTTGAGCTAGAGAAAGAGGAAGAGCGTGCGCCCATGGGAGAGGGGCAGAGAGAGAAAGGAAAAGAGAGAATCCCAACGTGGGGCTCAATCTCACAAACCATAAGATCATGACCTGAGCCGAAACCAAGAGTTGGCGGCTTAATCCACTGAGCCAGCCAGGCGCCCCACCTCTTCTGTCTTCTGGTGGCTGCTGGCATTCCTTGGCTTATGGCCACATGATTCTGATCTCTACTTCTGTTGTCTCTTTGCCTTCTTGTCTTCTGTAGTCAAATCTCCCTCCGTCTCCCTCTTTTAAGGATACTTGTGATTATATTTAAGGTCTTCCAGGCGAACCCAAGAGAGTCTCCCGATCTCAGGATCCTTAATTCAATGGCATCTCCACTCACAGATTCCAGGGATGGGACCTAGATATGTTTGGGGGCCGCTATTCAATATAATGCACACGGGTTACACATTCCGGCATCTGGAGGGCCCCACTGCTAACCTGACGGAGGGAAGCAGGCTGAGTGTAAGGCCTCAGGGAGCGGTGAGCCCTTGAAAGCACACGCCCCATGTTGGGGTGCAGCCGCTGCCCAGCTCCCGCTGCCCATGGCTTCTTCCGGAAGTGGGAACAACAACTGTCACATCTTTCTATCAGACATGATGCACGAGACACCTGGCCCTTGCGCGAAACCCCCTGATCCTTCAGGGTTAGAAACAACTCATTAAAAATCGCAAAAAGCAGAAACTGTCTCGGTGCGCACCCCGCTCCCGGTGCAGATACACAGACCGTGGGGGCAGGCACGTGCCCATGCCCTCCCCCATCCCCTCCCGCCTCAGCCCTGCCCTGACCCTTCACAGCTGCCTTTTCTCTGGCCCCTAATGAACCTGTGTGGGCGCTCAGCTCAACTTTCTCCCAAGACTGCAGACTCCTCCAGGGCAGTAGAAGAGCTTCCAGCAGGTTCTCTGGTTTTACCCACGACCTTCGCCTCAGAGGGCAAGAAATAACGTGCTGGGTGCCTGTCCGGACTTCACCTGTGAGAAACGGATCACGTCAGACCTTGAACGTGCAGGGACCTCCCCCCAAGCCCTTGCTCAACCACAGATTTTTCTGGAGAGCAGGACAACAGGCGGAGAAGAGGCAGCGGTTTATTCTTGATAATAAAACCCATTGACGGCATAAATCTGGAGGGCAGCCTGTTGGGGCTTCAGGGATTGTGTAAGTTTCTCAGGGCTTCCTGAGGGACACTGGCCTCTTTTCAGATGGCTAATGTGATCGGGCAAGTCCCTTCTCCCATCTGGAGGGTTGGACACGTCTCTCCTCCCTGGAGTTGCGACATGGTTCAGTTCCCTGTGCCCTGTGACAGGTGGATGCTTCGTGGCTGGCTGGGGACAGTTGGGTTCCGCTTTTGCTGGGCTTTGGACAGCACGGTGCTGTCCGAGGAGGGGTAGCGGCTGCCTGGGGACAGCTGAATGCTCCCCGGGGGGCACGGGGCTGTGCCTCCACCAGCTGACCAATCAGCTCCAGGACGGAAAATTCCATGAACCATCTCCTTGTCATACGAACAAGGTGAAGAGTTTTGCTAATTTATCAATTAGTTATTAAGTGAAGAATCACATGAATCCCGGTGTCTTTTAACTTTACGGGAAGGAATTATGTGACGTGCTGATTTCTTTAGGATCTGACTTGCCCATTCATCCATGATTTTTGGAGCATCAGCAAGAAAGGCCCCCCGATCCATACTCCTCCTCTGTGACCCCGGTTCCTGGGGCCAGGCCCCCCTTCCCCCACCCCGGACCTGTTTGTCAAAACCACCAGGAGTCCCTAGGGTGGGGTTTTCTGCTTCTCCTTGGCAGGAAGCCCACCTAGACTTCTTTGAAAGTTTTTCCTTAGATCTTTAGTTGAATTTAAACTTGTTATTTATGTATTTATTTTGAGAGAGAGAGTGTGCGAGAGCAGGGGAGGGGCAGAGAGAGAGGGGGAGAGAGATCCCACACAGGCCTCACGCTGCCAGCGCAGAGCCCAATGTGGGGCTTGAACTCCCAAACCGCGAGATCATGACCTGAGCCAAAATCAAGAGTCAGACACTTAACCGGCTGAGCCATCCAGGCGCCCAGATTAGACCCTTGACCTGGCAGCATGTCCGAAGCTAACCCTTGATGGAGATGTTTTAAAGAGCAAGCAACGCTCTTCACTGGCAGAAAGAGAGAGCAGATGTCCTGGGCTCCTGGGTCATGGGGTCGCCGGTCCCCCGTGCCTCCCAGGCTCTGGGGCTGCACGCGGAGGGTGGTGCTCGGCCTGGGAGTGAGCAGGAGCTCAGGGTGTTTGAAATCAGAGCACATGGCCAACATGGCAGGGCCTTCGTCATTCAGCACTAGGTCCCAGAGATACACAGGTGACAAATAAGCCCCACCCCCACCCCCAATCCCGCTTGTCTGGGCTGGAGCCCAGGAACCCTGTCAAGGTACTTGCCTCGACCCCACCCCCACCCTGCTCTCCCTCTGCCCCTCACCCAGCGCCCACCTACACCAACCTGCCACCGGCATCAGGGCTCCAAGTTCATGCCCACCCCATCCGCTTCTAGCCCCTCTCCTGTGTGAATGCTCCAATGACGACAGAGCGAGGGAAAGAATGAGCTAACAGGTAGCTGGGCAGGGGGGCCTGGGGTCTTGATCTCTGTAGCTGCTCCCCGGTGGCCACCAGCACGCCTACCTGTAGACCCCACCCCACAGGCTTCGCCACCCTGAGGCTCTCCTGCCTCACCCCGAAGGCGGCTTGGTCTCCCGGTTACACCATCCTACAGCACCCTGCGTGTTGTCCTCCATCCCTCCTGCTAATGTGTAAATGATTACCGGATTCATTTTTTAGTTGCGTTTTCCTCGCCTGTTAATCAGATGTTAAGCTTTAAGGAGGTGGCAATCATATCAGTCATGCTGCTTGCTCTGTCCCCCATGCCTGGGGTCTAGTTAGAGCTCAGCAAGTATTCATCGAATTCATGAATGATGAGGGAGGGACTTTATCTTGCCCTGACGACGACGTGCCCGGCGGTGCGCTAGGGACACAAACACGAGCTAGATCTGTCCTGGCTTTTCAGTAGCTCCCAGGCGAGTGGGGAAACGGATCTGTGGGAAGCTGGCTTTGGCACAGGTTGTATTTCGGGTGCTATGTGTACGGTGAAGGTGGGGGGGGGCGGGGAGACAGGAAGCCATCCAGGACCTGGGAGCAGAGGAGGTGTGTTGGTGGCTTTTGAGCTGAATCTTAAGAATTGACTAAGTGTTTGGAGGCAAAATACCAGGGAGGTTACCGCCAGGAGGGGGACAGCCTGACCCCGGCACGGGAAGGCAGAAGGTGGCGCCGGGGAGGAGCCGGCATGTATAGAAAGAGTCCAAGCAGGAAGGAGGGTAAGGCTGATAGGGACCCAGGTTGGGACGGGAGCCTGGATTGCCTACTGCGGCTCCGCGTGCCTTCCCAGAGCCTGGGAGGCGCGGGGACTGGCCCCGCCATGACCCAGGAGCCCAGGACATCTGCTTTTTCCTTTTTTCCAGCAAAGAGCTCTGCCTGCTCTTTAAAACACCCAAATCAAGGGGCGCCTGGGTGGCTTAGTCGGTTGGGCGTCCGACTTTCGCTTAGGTCATGATCTCGCGGTTCGTGGGTTCGAGCCCCGCGTCGGGCTCTGTGCTGACTGACTGCCAGCTCGGAGCCTGGAGCCTGTTTCAGTCTGTGACTCCCTGTCTCTCTGACCCTCCCCTGCTCACGCTGTCTCTCTCTCTCTCTCTCTCTCTCTCTCCTAGAAACTAATAAAAATATTTAAAAAAATAATAAAAAAAAATAAAACACCCAAATCAAGCCCCTGCGCGCCTCTGAAGTAGGGAACTGGGTTCAAGTCTGGGTCTGAGAAAACTGTCGGTAACACTAAGGCCCAGAGAAAGACGGAGAAATGTGGGAGCAAGTCCAGGCCGAGGGAGACCCCTTGTCCAGAGCTAGAAACCAACCAGGCGGCTGCCTGATCTCCCTGGTTCCACCAGTGAGGCTGGTCCTCTGGGCGGGCACCCACTGGGCTCCTGTCACGGGAGGTGGGTGCCCCTCACCTGTCACTTTCTATTTCAGACCAGATGATTTTCTCTGGATTTGGCTGTCCTGGTGTTTTTTCTTTTTTTTTTTTTAAGTTTATTTATTTGTTTATATTTAGAGAGATAGAGTGTGAGCAGGAGAGAGAGAGAGAGAGAGAGAGGGGCTCCAAGCTCATTGCAAAGCCCCATGCGGGGCTCAATCCCACAACCAGGTCATGAGGTCATGACCTGAGCCGATATCGAGCCAGACGGTCAACTGACTGAATCCCCCAGGTGCCCCTGGCTGTCTTGGGCTTTAATCTTTAGCACATCTCCATGCCCTGCTTCGTCCTGTCTCTCCTGGAATGTCCTGTCTGACATCTTACCTTTTTTTTTTTCCTTCTCTGCTCACCACTCCACCCATTCTGCCACACAAATAATTTCCCTTCAGAAATCTCTGAAAACAGAGACCAGCAAATGGGGGGGGGGGGGAGGAATCATCCTAAATGCCACGTCCCAGACATCACCTCTTTTGATAGATGTGAACAAGTTCTTCTAGCCTCATTCTGCGTGCTAAGGCATAAACATATATATATTTAAACAAAAATGAAATATACTGTCTTATAAAGCACATTTCTTTTTTGGAAAGCAGCTGACCTCCTTCACTTTTTATTTTTTATGCAGCGCAGAGCATACGGAAGAGAGGGCTTGGGGGGTACACACCCCAGAGAGCCAGTTTTGTGTGGCTTCTGCCGGACGCTAACTTTTTGAATTCCTGCATGGCATCAGGGTGCAAGGAGGGAGCTGTATCCCTGGACACCATGCATCATGTGTTATTCAGAATTATCAATGAAAAGGCTACCGTTTATTAAATGCTTACCACAGGCAGCTAATAATCACGGCTTTATCAGAGAGGTATAATCATCCTCATTGTATAGATGAAAGAGGTTAATTGCCCAGGGTCCCACAGCCATGAAATAAAAATTCCAGGGATTTGGATGCACGTCTCCGTCTGTCTATGCTGCCTTGTCTATGAATTACACACATCTGTCAGCCACTGGCCCGAGCCACTAAGGGGACTTGGATAATGGGCAGGAGTCTGGGGCATCCTGATGGGAATGGGGCAGAGTGTGGGCAGTGGAACCCCACCAGCCCACACCAGCCCACATGTACGGTGAGCTGGTAAACGTGTAACAACCGGCACTCTGGGGAAGAAGCCCCGATTGGGAACATTTGCCCATTTCTGTAGTGTGAAAGCTCTCACCGTGACTAATTTCAGGCCACCAGCAAGACGTCACTGAATGTGGAGCTGGTAAGAGATGTGCAGGAGGAGAACATCGTCACACGGATACAACAGACACTCTCAGTGTAACATGGAGTAGAGTGATGGGGATGTGATAAATCATAAGGCTGTATTGCCTTTGTTTTTCATATAATTATGTGATTGTAAGTTTGTCTCATTTAATTTTTAACGATGGCCATGTTCAACAACCGGCTTCAAAATTCCTGAAATTGGAAACAGCTCTGTCCAACTTCCCACTGCCTACGGTAGAAAAAGGCGCCCCCTCTGGGTGGGTGCTGATCTCTGCCAGCGCACGTAGGTTGGCCAGTGGATTGTGGGCTTGAATTAGGCATCGATTCATTCTCTCAGCAGGATGTCCTGGTGCAGGACGCAACCTATACAACTGTACATTATTGTCCGTGGGAGAGCCGGCAACAGACATCAGACAGCGCTATCCTATAGAACTCTCCCCAAGGATGAAAATGTTCTCTATCTGTGCCATCCAAGATGGTAGCCAAGCAGCCACTTGTGGCTACTTGGCATTTGAGATACTCAGCTAGGGCAACTGAAACACTGAATTAAATAAATAATATATACCATGTAATATATATATATATATATATAATTTTATATATGTATATGTAGTGGGAAATATGCATACATTGAATTTACCTTTCTAAGTATATAGTTTGGTGGTGGCTTTATATACATTCACATTATTGTGCATCTATTACCACGGTCCATGTCCAAAATTATTTTCAGCGTCTCAGACTGAAACTCTGTGCTCATTAAACACCAACTCCCTATTTTCCCCGTCCCTCCAGTCCCTGGGACCCACCATCCTACTTTCTGTCTCTATGAAGTTCACTACTCTAGGTAGCTTCTGTAGATGGAATATAGTATTTGCCCTTTGGCGACTGGCTTTCACTTAACAGGGTCTTCAAAGCTCATTTGTGTGCTAGCAGGTGAGACACGGAATTCTTAAGTTTTTTCTTTTTCATTTAAATTCTAGTTCATCAGCGCTCATCACAAGCGCCCTCCTTAGTACCCATCACCCGTCTAGCCCATCCCCCACCCACTCAGTGCTTAATTTTATTTAATTTTCATTCCTTGGATCCTAAAAAGCCACACATGATGCCCATGACCGTTGCGTTGGAGAGCGCCACCCTGGAAATGTTGCGGAGAAACTGTTAATTAAAATAAGGAGAGACCCCTGTCGTGAGACCTGTGTCCTGAGTTTTATGCCCGTCAAAGAGAGGAGGACAGGCAATGTCCCAGCTCCAGCCACGCCCCGTCCCTCCGCTGGAGATTTGCTCCCCTTCCCCCTTCCCAGGGTCCCGGATGCAGGGGTGAAGCAGAGCTGGGGGCATTCAGAGGACCTGATGAGGGATGTTGTAAATCAGGATCCGTAAAAATAGTAAGGAGCAACTTGAAAATCAAATCTCTGGGGGAGGGAGCTGGTGTAAAAAGAACCATGCTTCTATCACGGCTCTGTATGAACTTGACTGAGCTATCCCCTAGCTCTTACTGTGTCCCCTGGAAGACACCCTCCCCCATGCCCTCCCCCACAGGCGCCATCCGTGGGAGGGGGCTCCAGGGAGGTCCTTGCTGCTCTAGGCAGTGGTGAGGCTGCGATTCTGCAGCCGCCTGGATCCGGATCTTAGCCTGGGAATGGGGGTGGGGGCTAGACAGGAAGCAGAAATCACCCGGGTCCCTCCCCACCCAGGAGGGGAATCTTCAGGGTTAGAATAGGGGCAGCCAGCGCCTGGGCCTCTGACGGATCCTTGATCTAGATGTTCCGCCATGGTCATGTGCGTCCTTGGAATGGCCTGTGGTCAACTTGAGTCATCCATTCATCTCTTAGGAAGGGCCAAGGCTGGGAATGGATGTGACGCCCGGATACTGCAAAAGGGCAGATACAATTTTAAAATATGTTTGCACTGGGTTTTAAAGCGCGGTGGTTAAGAGCAAGCACTTTGCCGTCAGCCAAATGCGAGTTTGAATCCAGACTCTATCACTTATGAAGTAGGGAACCTTGGACAAGTCCTGTCTCCCTAAGCCTCTGATGCTTCATCTGGGAAATGGACCCTGAGGGTTAGGATGAGGGCAAACGAGTCCCATTTAACAGGCTCTCAGTAAATGTTAAAGAGAAGTAACGATTATTACGATAACTCCCACTTTTTAATCGGCTAACCAGATTATCTCCACATTCCCTTGGAAGGTTGTAGAGCGATGCGTAATGCCTGAGCACCTGGGGCAGAAGGAGTTCTGGCCTTTTCTCTGAGGCGAGGGAGAGCCATGGAGATGCTCAACAGGCCAACAAAGCCTTTTGGAGAATTACCTCTTGGCTTTCCCGTTTCAGTGCCAGCAGAAGGCCCTTCTTTCTGTACGTGGGCCTGGCTCACATGCACGTACCCTTATCCGGGACACGGCTCTCCACAGACCCACAGGGCCAAGGGCCGTATGGTGCAGATCTCCGAGAGATGGACAACCTGGTGGGCCAGATCAAGGACAAAGTTGACCGCACAGCGAAAGAAAACACATTCCTCTGGTTTACAGGTGAAGTAGTAAAAACCCAGCCAGCTCGTGGAGATCTACTCGATAACCCTGCTCACACCCCCATGAAGAGCAGAGTCTGGGCCTTGTGATCCTCTTTCACAGGGCAGGGGGCTTGCTTTGAACTTGGCCTCTGCTAGGGTTTGTTGGCCTGAGTGCTGAGCGCCTGTCCACTGGGGCCTCCAAGGCTGAGCCTCTGGAAAGGCTTGCGCAGAGAGCAGGTACCCTGCTGGCCTCTCCTGTGTTGGCTGAGGGCCCTCTGGGTGACGCTCTTAACTGTTCATGAGTGACTTTGGCATTGCTGACGACGTGCATGGTCCTCGGGTGTTCTAAGGGTCCCTCCTCACCATCTTCCCAGCCCCAAAGCATCCAGTTGCCACTGGTCCCCAGGTCACACCTTTTGGCTGAGTGGGCCAAACTAGTGAGCGATTTAAAGGGTCTACACAGGCATATCGGGTCGCAGGTGGCAGTCTGGAACGGGATGAATCTGTTGAATCTGTTACTGTTGGGAAAGGCACTGTAACATCTCTAAGCCTGTTTCCTAAGAGCTGAACTGAGCTCACAATGGCATCTACTGCAAAGTGTATTGGCTGCTCCTGAGATGATGTAGGTCAGGCGCTGGGGGCATCAGCGGCATTCAGCGCATAGCTGCGGAGCTGAGAACGATCCTAAAACTTTATGGAAAGGGACAAGCATCTGAGCCAAGAACCCCACCCTGGGGCTTGCTTGGGGCGGGGAAAGCCCACCTCCCGGAAGGCCTCATATAACTGGACAGTTTGGCAAGGGCAGGAATCATAATTGTTTTTATAGGTCTGCCTCCTACCCAGTCCGCCTTGGCTGCACCGGCCTATGGGACCTGGGAGGGAGAATGGGCAAAAGAATCCAGAAGCTTATCAATGGCTCCGTGTTGCTTCTTTTGGTTTCCAGGAGACAACGGCCCGTGGGCTCAGAAGTGTGAGCTGGCAGGGAGCGTGGGTCCCTTCACTGGATCGTGGCAGACGCGTCAAGGTAGGGGCTCTGCTGGGCTTGGTGCGTCCCGCCGTGGGTGCTGGGCCGAGGCCAAGCCGTGTGCTTCTGTCTCTGGGAGACCGGCTCACATGCAGGCCTGCTGGCCATCGTTAGAATGTTCTTTTTTTTAAGAGTTGGGCTTTACCTAACTGGCCAGCAAGAGTGGGATGCTTAAGGAAGATAGGCGCATTTTAAGAAATACTAAGTAACCACTGAAATGATACATATTATTGACCTTAAGTACTTTTCAGTGAGGGGCACCTGAGTGGCTCAGTCAGTTGAGTGTCCGACTTTGGCTCAGGTCATGATATCACAGTTCGTGGGTTTGAGCCCCGTGTCAGGTTCTGTGCTGACAAGTCAGAGCCTGGACCCTGTTTCAGATTCTGTGTCTCCCTCTCTCTCTGACCCTCCCCTGCTCACGCTGTCTCTCTCTCTCAGAAATAAATAAAACAAAAAAAAATAATTTAAAAAATACTTTTCAGTGAGTATTACAGGTTACAAAGCAGTAGGCAAAGTATGATTTTTATTATGTCAAAATAAGCCTACCAATTTTCAGAAAAATCTTTTTTAAAAATGTTTATTTATTTATTTTGAGAGAGAGAATGTGAACAGGGGAGGGGGCAGAGAGAGAAAGGAAGAGAGAGAATCCCAAGCAAGCCCTGTAGTGTCAGCACAGAGCCCAACGTGGGGCTTGAACTCACGAAATGGAAGATCATGACCTGAGCCGAAATCAAGACTCAGATGCTCAACCGACTGAGCCACCCAGGTGCTCCTAATTCTCAGACCAAAAGTAACAAACGATTAGGAGTAATAATCTCTAGGTAGGGGAGAGAGGGTTCAAGTGTGGTTTTTTTTTTCTCACAGCAAACTGATCTTAAATTTTTTTTAATGTTTTATTTATTTCTGAGAGAGAGAGAGAGAGAGAGAGAGAGAGAGAGAGGGACAGTGTAAGCAGGGGAGGGTCAGAGAGAGAGGGAGACACAGAATCCAAAGACAGGCTCCAGGCTCTGAGCTGTCAGCACAGAGCCCGATGCGAGGCTTGAACCCATGAACTGCGAGATCATGACCTGAGCCGAAGTTGGATGCTTAACTAACTGAGCCACCCAGGCGCCCCCAAACTGGTCTTAATTTGTGTCCTAAAAATTTTAAATAAATTTTTCAGAAGGTGCTTGCTTCCAAGGGGCTTGGGGATGGGTTTGGGGAGATTACGCCCCAGGCAAGAGTTCTATCTATGCTGTCCGGCTCCTGAGCTAAGCCTCCGGTGTCTCCAGGTCAGAGGGCACAAAATGCTTTTCTTATTAGTCCGGCAGAATATTTGTAGTTACCTAGAAACTAGAACATTGTGCATCTTGCGACCAGTGGCAAATCTTTCATTTTTATTTGTCACCTTTATCCTGGTATCTGCCCCATCAGATCCCTCGAGAACTTCACAAGTGACTGGCTTGTGGCCGAGGACTGTGGCTGGGTCTCCTGCCTAGGGATTCGAGTTGGGGTGTTAGGAGAATAGGTGCCATCTCCCTGTAACCTGTCAGTGGCCAGTCTGTTTCATCTTTCAGGATGTGGTTTCTCTCCCTACCTAGCAATCTCTTTGACTGGTCTGGTTCAAGAATGCTGTCTGGAGAAATGGGCAGAGAAAGGTACCAGGACTGGAGGCGGTGTACATGCGCCTGATGCCTACAACAGTAGCCTAGAGGCATATACTGGGAGCCGGGAGTGGTTTCTGCACTAGCTGATTATATCTCCTCTCCTTACCTGGGAGACCCTCAGACCAGGTGACCAGCTTCAACACTCAATTAGAAAGCGTGGAAGAGCCTGGAATCTGAACTCTCCAAGGTACAAGTCCAGAAGGCAAGGAGACCTTGGATGGGTTGGATAAGCTGTGCTGCTAAGCGGCTCCTCTGTAGAGAGCTCTCTGTTCCCAAAGAAGATGGCCTCCGATCTCTTAGCTGAAGACCTGCCTTACCTTGTCTCTCTCCCCTTTATGAGACCATCTGGAAAGAGCGAAGTAGGGCTAGCTATGGGGAAGGGGGCCCTCCTCTTTGAGGGAAGCACCTCACCCTGGGAGAAACACAATTACCAGCTGGGCAACTTCCATTCTTCCTTTCCTTCCTTTCTCCGATGGGCATTTGTTGAGCACCTATTATGTGCCAGGAAGTGGCTCAGTGCTGGACACAACACTTAAAGCCCCTGGCTCTAAGGAGTGACCATCGAGGGCAGTGTTTCTAAGATTTTAATGTGCAGGGAGTCCCCTGGGGACCCCGCGGCTCTGACTCAGTAAGTCTGGGATGGCCACTGAGACGTTGCGTTTCTAACAGGCCCCGAGTCGATGCCGGCGAGGCTGGTCCAGAGGTCACACTCTGAGAACCACCACGCTAGACTGTCCACAGGGAGACCGCAGGAGTCGAGAACTTTCAGGTTGGACCCATGGAACTTGTTAGCGGTGCAAATGCTAGGACCTCACCACCCCAGACCGACTAAATCAGAAACTCTGGTGACAGATCCCGGCGATCGGTGTTTCCCCCTGTCCTTCAGGCAAGTTTTTGGATGCAGGTTAATAACAATTTGAGCCCCACTTCTTGGGGGCTAGCCTGTCTCATACACCCGACACACCGGCCACACTTCAAGGGCTCAGAAGCCACCTGTAGCGGATGGCCCCCGAATCGGGCATTTCTGTCATTGGCGGCATTTCCATTGACGGTGCTGGGAGGCTGCGCTTACGCATGAGATTGTAATACTGGGCAAGAACCCTGTGATCAAGGGGAGTTCAAGGGCATCTCACCCACACGGGAGGGGGACAGGAAGGCTTCCCCGAGTGGTTTCAGTTTTGAAGAATGAGTAGGCCACGACTCTGGGTTTGCAGGGGAGGGAGCTTGGAGCGGCCCGGGCAGGGCGGGCAGACCTCAGAGCAGGAGCTGCCCCGCAGCTGTGTGTGCATCTGAGCTTGTGGAAGCAGATAAAGTTGGGGGAGGAAAGGCCGAAGGGAGAGCCTGGGCCAGCGGTCAAGGGTCTTTTGTTTGAGGCAAACCGTCTTGGCCTTCATTCTAAAGAAATGTGGGCCTGTGGAAAGTTTTCATGAGGGCAGGCAACATCATTCGACTTTTTATTCTTTTTTTTTTTTTTTTAATTTTTTTAAATGTTTTATTTATTTCTAGGAGAGAGAGAGAGAGAGAGACAGCGTGAGCAGGGGAGGGTCAGAGAGAGAGGGAGTCACAGACTGAAACAGGCTCCAGGCTCTGAGCTGGCAGTCAGCACAGAGCCCGACGTGGGGCTTGAACCCACGAACCGCGAGATCATGACCTAAGCGAAAGTCGGACGCTTAACCGACTAAGCCACCCAGGCGCCCCACATTCGACTTTTTAAACTGAAGTGAGGGGTGCCTGGGTGGCTCGGTCGGTTGGGCGTCTGACTCTAGGCCATGATCTCGGGGCTCATGGGCTTGAGGCCCGTGTCGGGCTCTGTGCTGACCGCGTGGAGCCTGCCTGGGATTCTCTCTCTCTCTCTCTCTCTCTCTCTCCCTCTCTTTCTTCCCTTTCAGCGCTCTCTCTCTCTCTCTCTTTCAAAATGAATAAGTACACTTTAAAAACATACCTTGAAGTGAGATTCTGTAACATGACATCGGCCATTCTGATGTGTACCATTCAGTGGCAGGGAGCACCCTCGTCCCCACATCTACTCTTCCCAGCACCTCATTCAATTTTAAAAGACCCCCCTCTTACGTCAGTGAGGCTGAGGGCAGAGAAGGGGCAAGGCTAGGTTCATTTCCACCGAGTCCCGGGTGACGAATGGGAAACGCAAGTGACAGAATCCCCAGGAATATTCCTGCGTTCCCAGAATGCCAGGGTAGGAGCACACCCCAGCCATCTTCATTCCAACCACCCTGTGGGCAGAACGAGGAAACTGAGGCGGGGCAGGGCGGAGGGCATTCCGAGGCTGGCCGTTGGTCATGGGGGGGCCACGTCATTTGACCTCCACCAGCTCATTACTCAACCCGCACGATGGTGGCTACTACGCCGTGTTGGACCCGGCAGCTGCTCAGCCATCTGGAAGCTCCTAGGCTGAGTCTTTGAACCCCATGCTTGTCAAGGAAAATGTCTTCAGCCTCTGGAACAGTGTGAATCTTTCTAAATCTGCAGGAGGCACAGTGGGGAGGTGGAGAGGGCTAAAGGCTTTGGAAGCCCAGATGGGGCTCGAATCTCCATGCAGCTTATGAATCGGTGCCCCCCTGGGGCCGCTCCCTCAGAAAACCCGGTTTCCCGCCCCCCCCCCGGAAGGTGGGGCCGTAGACCCAGCTTGCTGGACAGCGGGCAGGGTCAGGGGGGTACCACCTACAAGGCACCCAGCCTCGTGATGTCTCCTACTAACCCTCATGATTCTCCAGTCCTTTGTTTCCAGCCGAAACAGACCGGGGGTGGGGGTTACCCCACAAAGAGAACGGGAAGGAGATGGGAAAATGTCCGGAACAAGGTTTTCCTACCAAACACTGTGGCCAGTTTAAGTAACACATGGATAACTTTCCAAGTGTTCTGAGCCTTGGTCTTGGGAAGCTGGATTTCAGTCTTCAAGAGGACAGTCTTCTTTTGGGGGTCGAGGCATACGAGTGCAGCTTACTGTGGTACCCGGGGCGCACAGCCGTCAAATTTGTGGTGGGGTGGGGGCCAGATGCCATTCTCTTCTTTTCTCAGGAAAGCCTGCAGGTGAACTTTGCACAGGGGTAAGCACTTCCCCTTCCTCATGCTCCAAACCAGCTTCCCATCAACTATTCCAAAACCTTCCTTCTCCTCTCTGCCCAGAGCGCTTGCTGGGGACTCCGGGAAGTCAGGCAGAGCCCCGCGTGGAAGGGGCGAGGCAAGGGGGCTCCAGTCACGGCAGGGAGGCTGGGGGTCCCTCTGGGCCACCTGCTCGTCCTCATCCGGGCTCCTCTTCAGTGGGATGCCTGCACACCCCGCTGTAAGGGGGCCAGTCTTGAGAGCAGATGAGAGAAGGCAGTCAATGTTTTCGCA